GATCCATCTTTCTTCCTGATAAAGAGAACCGGTATGCCCCAAGGTGACACACTCGGCCGGACGAAACCTTTCTCTAGCAAATCCCTCAGTTGTTCCTTTAGCTCTTTTAATTCTGCCGGCGCCATTCTATAAGGTGGAATGGATATAGGCTGCGTGCCCAGCATCACATCAATCCCAAAATCAATCTCCCTGTCTGGAGGAATTCCAGGGAGCTCATCCGGAAATACATCGGGGAATTCATTCACAATTGGTATAGATTCAAGGGTAGGCACCTCAGCAGTGGTGTCCATAACTCGAACCAAATAGTAAATATACCCCTTCCTGATCATCTTTGTGGCCTTAAGGTAAGAAATAAACCTACCTTTTGGCATAACATTATTCCCATCCCATTCAATAGCGGGCTCGTTAGGAAACTCAAGCCTCATGATTCTGGCTCGGCAATCGAGTTTGGAAAAACATGAATAAAGCCAATCCATTCCCATTATTATGTCAAAATCAATCATCCCTAGTTCAATAAGATCGGCCATGGTATCCCGACCACGCATCATGACAACACAATCTCTATAAACCCGCACGGCCGTAATAAACTCACCAATTGAGGTAGATATAGAGAACGGCTCATTAAGCTGTTCCGATTCTATCCCGAAGATCGTAGCAACATAAGGAGTAACATAGGACAAAGAAGATCCGGGGTCAATAAGGGCATACACATCATGAGATTGAACAGTCAATATACATGTGACGACATCCGGGGAAGCCTCCTCACTCTGTCGACCACTCATAGCATAAAATCGGCTGGGTCCTCCCGAACTCTGTGCACCACCCCTAGCTGTACCACGCCCTATGGGTGCTGGAGAGCCTCGAGCTGGAAGGGGTGCTGAAGATGTAGCNGAACTCTGTGCACCACCCCTAGCTGTACCACGCCCTGCGGGTGCTGAAGAGCCTCGAGCTAGGGGTGTGCTGAAGATGTGGCAGTTGTAGGACTGGATGACTAAGCTGTGCCCCTGCCTGCACCCTGACGGGATGCACAACACTCCCTCTGAATATGGCATCTCATTCTGCATCTGTAACATACTGGCATGTCCAGGTAACAGACTCCCGAATGTATCCTCCCACGTTTAGGGCATGGGGCCCTCTGCTATTGCTGGAATCTCCCTCCTGCTCGGCCCTGATGGTGGGACCCCATGCTGCCCTGACCGGGCCTAAAGAGACTTCCCTACTGCTGACTGTGCCCTGATGGCGGGGCACTAGATGAAGACTGAGCATAAGACTGGGATGGCCCTAATAATCCTCCCCGAAAAGCTGATCTCCCACCTCCGAATGAATCCCCAAGGTTGCCCGCTGATCGGGCCCTACTACTACTTTCCCGTTCCATCCTGAGCTTTAACTTTCGAGCCTCCGTATCTTGGGCAAATGCCACCATCCTTCCATAGTTCATGTCAGAATTTAAAGCAGCTGTGGCATCCTCATTAATAACCAAAGGGCTAAGGCCCTGCACAAATCGACGAACTCTTGCCTCCATAGTTGGCATCATATGAACAACATACTTCGACATGCGCACGAACTCCATGTGATACTCCCACATATTCCTACTACCCTGTTTAAGGGTCTCAAACTCCACAGCATGGTCTGCCTTAGTCTTAGCAGGCAAGAAATGGTCTATGAAGGTATCCACGAACTTACTCCATCTCGCCGGAGGGCTCCCTTCCTCACGAGAATTTTTCACATTTCAAACCAGGAATATGCCACCCCTTTCAGACGATAAGAGGCCAACTCTACTCCCTCTACTTCAGTAGGATGCATAACTCGGAGAGTCTTATGCATCTCATCAATGAAATACTGAGGATATGCCCCGGGATCAGTACCTGTGAACACTGGAGGGTCTAACTGAAGGAACCTGTTTACCCTGGAACTAGAAGAATCCTCTTGCGAGCTAAATAAGTTGGGTGCAACATTTGACCTCTGGGCCTGAGAAGCTACTAACTGAGTCAGCATCTAAATAGCTCCCCTAAGATCCCCATCAGAAATACCGGGACCTGGAGCTGGGCTGGAGGTGGAACAGGTATATCGGCTGGAGGGATTATGGCACCCTCCGTGGGTGTAGGAACTGGGGTAGTCTGTTCTGGAGTAGACAAATCAGGCAGTGTGATGGTAGGGGGGATTATCCTCACCCGCATTATCAAGTAAGGGATCAACAACCACTCCTGGTGTGGCATTGGCTTCTTGGCCAATTCTCGCTCTCTTCTTAGGTGCCATTTACTGAAAGTTAGAACAATACACGAGTTAGGGGAAAACAACCTCACATTCCGCTCTATCGCACAATATAGAACAACAATGAATGGTATCATTCTTAAATGTCCAAGTAGTCCTCTAATTATAGATGTGGTCGACAACACACCGACAAAAAGGGCTCTACTAGGTATGGCTCCGAGACATCCTTGGATACTTTAAGACCTTATGCTCTGATACCAAGTTTGTCATGCCCCAACCTCGGGGAGCGCGAACGGTGCTCAACCGAGTGAACCTGGTCAAGTAAGCCTAGTAAACCTTTCCTACCAAACTCATTCATGATCCAAAAAGGGAATGCGTCACCATTTGCAAAACAGGGGAGAGATCAGTTATATAAATATATAAACATTGCTAGTTCATTTTTTTCCAATTATATGCATTATGCCATAGTTAAGTTTCCAAAATACAACTCGATCCAACGACTGCCCCAACATACATACATAACCCACAAAAACGTCTACGGAGCCTCTAAGGATACAAAAGAGCAACATGACAATGCCGGCAACAAGGCCCCGGCTATACCTCAAAATGTGAAAACTTATACAAAAGAAGGACTACATGACCCCTGGGAGAAATGGGGCTCACCAAAACTGCTGTGGGGAGAGAAAGAGAGCACCACTATCTACGATCGGCACTATCTGCGATGGAACCACCTAAATCCATTCAAAGATGTAGCGCCCCCGGCAAAAGAGACGTTAGTACTATCGAATAGTACTAGTATGTAAGGCAAACACCAATCTCAGTAGAATGAACAGTGAAACAAAGAGAAGGCAGTCACAATAATCAATAAGTACTTCATGAAAATACAAGAAAACACCAAATAAGGATTACACAATTCCTAATTCAATCTTTTCATCTTTTTAGGTTAATAATCTTTAGTGCCAAGCCACAAGTCACAATGCCACCGTGTTTTTATACGGAGTCCGGTCTCGGCCCGACCGGCTAAGCCATCCCAAGTGAGACATATCCATATCCACAATGTGAATCAATAATTCCAACACAAATGCCACCATGTGTACAGCATGGCGTCCGATCTCGGCCCGATCGGCTAAGCCATCTCACTAGAGACATAACCTCTTTTAATTGTCCACTCAATTCACATTTCTTTCCCATCTCCATTATGGCACAAACATCCTCATTTATTAAGTAGTTCTTGGCACTTGGGCACATTTTACAATTCAAATCTTTCCCCTTTTTATTTGTTCGAATAACATCATCATTCATGTCGATAAGTACCATTGCATAAGGTATTTCACACATAAGGGAAGGAGCTTGAAATATCATAATTACGTTCTTAAATAGCATGATGACATAGTAACCATCTAAAACAATGAGGGAACATGAATCTTTCAATCAAACGCACTAAGGCAAACAATTCTAGTATATTCAGGTTGGAACTTACACCAATTATTCGGACACCAGGAGTTCGATTCTAAGAAGAAGAGAGTTAGCCATACATACCTCAATTGCGCTTCTTTAGACTCTACAATTATCCGGAACCCTTAGCAACCTCAATATATTTTTGCAATATACAAATTGAACCCAAAATTAGGAAAATATTCATGGTTCTAGTTCATTTTTCCACACTCTTTTTACCACACATGCATGCAAGATAAACAACTCTCATACCTATGGACCATCTTATTAATACCCCATTATAGCTATGTTTGAAATTAAGAGCTGGGGTGATGAAGTCTTACCTTTTTGGATGAAGAAATTGAGTGCTCTACTAGAGTATTTCCAAGCTTTGAGTGATGGATGAAGATTGATTGATGAAAATTAGTTCCTCCCTCTAGAACCCTCTCTTTTTCACACTAGAAATATCAGAAATGAGCTCAAAATAGACTAAATGGGGGTGTTTTAATGGAATGGGGGTCGGGTTTTAAATTAAGAAAAATGGTGCCCCGACACAGGTCTGCGGTCGCATATGCGACCGCATAATGATTATGTGGTCTGCAAAGTGACCGCATAAATGGCCCTCAGGGGCCTGAACTTACGTCCTAGGTATGCGACCAGTATGCGGTCCGCATACTCATTCTGCGGTCACATAATGCACCGCAGAACTCCCTCCGCAAAAACTCAAGAGGGATTATGCGATCGATATGCGGTCCGCATATCAATTATGCGGTCGCATAATCGACCGCAAAAATAACCTCAAGTTGGCCAAACTTACTGCTTCACTCTGCGGCCATTATGCGGTCCGCAGAATAATTATGCGGCCGTATAATGGGCCGCAAAAATGCGTTCTTCTGTGAAATATTTTCCTCTCAGTCCGTAGGGTACTGTTCAATCCAATATTTTCTACTATAATAACGCAGGAATCTAACTTGGCACCACTAAACCCCAATTTTATTTTATTTTTGGCTTAAATTTTTACGGGTCCTTACAGGACATGTCTTACTGGGGGTAGTAGGGGTCGATGTTCCGTCTGTGAGTGGCTATCTCCTTGGGGATGCGGGGCATATCTGCGTGGCTAAAGACAAATAAATCTGCGTTAGCTATTAAGAATTTACTAAATTTACCTAGGTCTTGAAGTTTGCAGCCAATGTAAGATTTTTTATTGGGGTCGCTGTGATCAAGTTGGACGGGATCGAGGTCCTCTATGGTCGATCCTATAGCTTCGACCATTTCTGGGTCCACAATGGTATCTTTGGCTTAGACCGGTGTGACCCTGTTGATTGCTATGCTTCTTTTTCCTTTTCTTTCTTTTGTTAAGTTGTCGTCCCATCTATGGCAATCCGATAGCATTCCCGTGACGTGAGTTGTTCCCCTCTCTGTCCTACAATGGTTTTATATGTAGTGTTCTGGTCCATGATATGGAGTGTTTTTTCCAAATTCACCCCACTAACGAGGACAGGGATTGTGATCTCCCCCGAAGTCCATCTAACTGCATTGTTAAAACCAGTTAGTGTAATGCAACGCGATACTATCTTATCCTCGAGTCTCATCTGCGCGAGGACTCGAGGATGGATAATACACGCCCCGCTTCCATCATCTACCACAATTCTCCTAACATCAGTATCTAAGATTCGTAAAGTAATGACAAGTGCATCATTGTGAGGGAAAGTCAAATCATCGGCATCTGACTCATTGAAGATGATGCTTTCTTTGAGTCCGTCATACCGTTCGTGGATGATCGATCTTTTGAGTTTGTGAGTGGTGGTGAATTTGATGCCGTTGATGGAGGCGTCATCACTGCCAGCAATAATCATGTTGATAGTGCGAGCTGGTGAATGCAACTTTGGTGGGCCTAGGCGTTCTCGACCCCTTGCTAAAGTGTTCCTGCCTTTGTCGCTGAGTAATTCTTTGAGATGTCCTTGCTGCAACAAGTTTGCTACTTCTAGTCTCAGAGCATGGCAATCTTCCGTTTTATGTCCACGTTCTTGGTGGAACTCGCAGAGGGCATCAGATTTCTTGGTGCTCGAGTCGGACCTCATCGTTGGTGGCCACTTCACGTTTGTTCTGGGCTTCTCAAGGGCGTAGACCACCTCTGTAAGTGACACACAAAAGTTATGAGCAGATAGTAAGGGAGGCATACCTCGATCATTCATGTGAGTACTTGATCTCGGCCTAGATGGACCGTTTTCATAACGAAAGGATGGGACGGGTTCCCTGACATACAATTGATGTCGTTCCCGGCCTGGCCGCGATATTGGATGGTCTCTCCTTATGTTGTCCATGCGTTCTTTCCTGGGCTCAGATTGTACTGAGGTGAGTCGTCGAGTTGGTCCGTTGAGGTCGTCGTCGTCTTCCCTGATCTCAGCACAGTAGGCACTGTGGATTTCGTCCTAAGTGGCCAGTGCGTACTTCATTAACCAACGCAGTAGATTTTTGGTCACCCTCGAACCCTCTCTGCTCAATTCATTCTGAAAGGTTGCCATGACTATCCCTTCTGAGACATTTGGTAAGGTCATCCTCAACCTGTTGAATCGGGTGATGAAGTCCCTCAGTTCCTCTCCTGGGGATTTCTTGATGGCAAAGTATAGTTCACCCTTGTTTCAGCTTTCTTGGCTCCGACATGTGCTGTTACCAACTTATTGGTTATCTCTTCGAATGTTTCTATAGAATAAGCTAGCAGTTGTGAATACCATGTCAACGCCCCTCCAGTTAGGGTTTCACCAAATTTTTTCAGCAAGATGGAGGATACCTGCTCTTTGGTGAGGCCGTTGCCTTTCATGGCGGTGATGTAGTGAGTTACATGGTCTTTGGGATCGGTTGTTCAGTCGTAGATTCTGAGATATGAGGGCATCTTGAAGGTCTTTAGTATGGCGTGTGGAGCCGCTTCTTCCCTGTATAGCTGTTCCACAACCTACCGGTGTCTTTTTTGGTAATAATTTAAGAGCACTTGGTATTTTGTCTACCCGTTCCTGGTACTCTTTCATCTGTTCCTTAAGCGCCTTGTTCTCGTTTTGCCATTTCTTCCATTCTTTTCAGCGCGACAGTGAGGACATTGTCGCCTACACTGTCAATAACCGCATGAGTGTTACCTGAAATAGGAGGGTTTGGTTGGTCGTCCTGTTCATTCATGCGCTGTGCTGAATGGGCCCTCGTGTTTTCTGCAGTCATGCATGGGGCTTATTTGCTGATCACGCTGACCAGGGTGTCGGTCAGCCATGCCTCGAGGAGATTTTTCATGTGGACGTAGAGGCTCCCTTCCCATTTGGGTTGGTTATGCTACATAAGGGTGTAGGCGACTTTCCTATTCTGGGGGACGCCGTAGGAGTTACTTCCTCATCTTGTGTGTCGTATCCTTCGCCTAAGGCATTCATGAGGTTAAGCGGGATGTTGTCCGTCGTTTTTGCTACATTTCCCTGGTTACCTGCCATGGAGTTCTTGTATGCACACAGAAAGAAAAAGGACAACCTTCGCGGTTTGTTAGATTAACAAGTCACGTGGGTTATGGATCTGATAGAAACTAAATATTTGTCTGCGAAATCCCCACATACGGCGCTAAACTGTATGACCCAAAATTTAGATCTTAGGACAATTAGATTTGTAGTGAAAAATGATTAATCTTAGTCAATACTAAAATTCAAATGACAAACCAAGCATATTTATGGAAAATATCCCACGTGTGTTGTTAGATAGCAATAAATAATAACAATGATAGAGCAATGAATGACTCGAGAATATGAAAGAGAGCAATAAATAACAATAAATGGAATTTAAGTAAATAAACGAATATAGGTCACCCGACAAAAGTGAGATTTCTCAGTAATTCCTTTGACAATGATGGATAAGGATAAGCCTTTGAATATTCTGATCCCTCTTGGATCGGGGAAGAAAAGATAGATAAAGATGTAAAAAGGTGAACTTTGTATGTATATGATAAAGAGAGAATCTCCAGAGAATGTCAATATGTTCTTCTTTCTTAAAAGTGTCTAATCCTCTTCTATAACTACATATCTTTCTATTTATAAGAGTACATGTGCCACAAAATCCTAGATAGTATAACTGGGAGGAATATTCTCTAGGGGATAGTAATCCTAGAACTAGCCGTTATTGCTCTTCGAAGAGGAGTGCTCGTCCTCGTTCCCGTCTTCTGTTGAGTCACTTCGACCTAGTCGACGACCCGTTATCTTCTCACGACGTCGACCTTTTATTGACGATATGTGGCAGCCTCCGAAGGCTTCCTTTATGTTGACTTGGTCAACATGTCTCATGATGTTTTTTGCACATACACTAACCAAACAATAACAAAAGATATTTGAATATACATGTACATACACGATGAACAACTATATATAATACACAATAAATAGACCCCCTGAATTCTACGGTCTGTATATGGTTGAAAAATAAATAAAATTTTAAACCAATTCCAAACCCATTATCACAAGAAGAGAAGTGGGTGCAATGGTAATTAAAAATATCCATGAATAATTTGTACAGTCTAGTACCTTTAGCATTCACATCAATAGTAATTTCTGAAAATAATGGAGCAAGAAGAACAATAAGTGATTTAAATAAAAAAAAATTGGGAGATTTTGGATTACCTAATAGATCAAGGGGTAATTTTTAAAAGTTTGCTGATGGTAGAGATAAATTTAGTTGGATAATATAACGATAGAGATCAATTTGGCCAGATAATATAACGGAAATTAAATATATACAATATCCGAAAATAGAGTGGTATATGCGAAATATAATAATATAAAAATACATGTAACTGGTACTATGTGCAGTAGTCGGCGAGATGTGCATATACTGACTTGAGTTACTACCATTATAAAAAAATATAATTTGCTTCCCTTTGGTTGCTCTGAACCTGTCAAACATGGTCTCTTTAACTAATACTACTAATAAGAATATATAAGTAATAAAAGAAGAATTCAGAACTTGGTCGTGCATGTACATATTCTTGCTTGCTTCACATAGCTTGGATTAATATTAGTAGCATATTAGAAGCACTCAAAGCCGGCGAGCTACTCCCATGCAACTAAATTATTACTCTATATTTGAATCATTATACAGGACAAACAAGAAACAGTCTTTATTAAGACAAATTCAAATGTCCTTTTTTCTTAATTGTAAGCCATAGTAATCTTAAATTTGTCATTCAAGGACTCTGTATTTCTGTGTTTCCCTCAACCATTAACTTTGAGCTTAACAGAAATCATAATACAATGGCCACTTTTTTCATTCTCCCACTAATCCTCATTTCTCTTCCTGTTTCCATTTCTCAAACTTCCTCTAATAACTGCAATGGCATATTCATAACTTACGACTACAACTCTGGTTTTCCTCTTCCACCAAACGTCTTGGCATCAGACTCCAACAATCAAGCCTACAATTTCAGGTCCACACTCACAATTCTCAATAATAGTCCTGATGAGCTCAAGTCTTGGAGGGTTTTTGTTGGCTTCCAACACAGGGAATTCTTGGTCTCTGCTTCACAAGCTGTGCTTGCTGATGGAACCACTTTGCCCGGTGATGTTAGAAATGGAACTGTCTTTGCTGGTTTCCCCATCACTGACCTCAAGTCCGCAATTCAGACCGCCGGAGACACTAAACAGATGGAGGCTCGGATCGAGTTGGTTGGTACACTGTATGGTGTTGCATCTCCTGCTGTCCCCTTGCCTTCTTCTATCACCCTCGCTAATGATGGCTTCTCCTGTCCTCCTTCTACATCTCAAGGTAGGTAAAGTTTGTACCTTTTGATTTTCTTAACAAGTACTATAAAGTTAGGATTTTTCAAACTGACCTCGCTTATATGCTAATCCAAGATTTTAAGTCAGTAGAAGTAGGTGTAGTGATACTGTGGACAGAGATGGATGGAGCATTGGAGCCTTTGTTCAATATACATGTGAAATTTCAATAAGATTTCAACAGAAAAAATCACTACAATTTCAACAAAAATTAAATTTAAACCAATAATTTTCAAGTACGATGAGTTCAGTGCCAAAAACATTAAAGGTTGAGCCCATCAAATTTAAATAATGGATTCACCTCTGGTAGCTGTGACAGAGTTGGTGGAAAGATCAAGGGAGCTTATAGTAAACTGCCTGTATTTTATTGGATCTTGTTGCAGGAAATCGGACCAAAGTTTGCTGTGTAAACGACTCAAGCGCCGGATCCAACGTCACGGCCTATGAGGAAATCCAGCCTCGGCAAGGGGGTGATCTTACCATAATCTATGATGTCACTAGCTCATTCGAATCCAATTACTGGGCACAAGTCACAATCTCAAATAATGACCACACTAGTCGTCTTGATAACTGGCAATTAAGCTGGGAATGGATGAGGGACGAATTCATCTATAGCATGAAAGGTGCTTATCCTACGGTTGTTGATACAGGGGACTGCATCTTTGGTAAGCAGGGTGAACATTACAAGGGCATCGATTTTTCAAAGGCCTTAAACTGTGAAAGGAGACCAACAATCATTGACCTTCCTTTGGAAAAGACAAATGATACAACCTTAGGAATGGTTCCCTTCTGTTGTAGAAATGGAACCATTTTGCCACCTATCATGGATGCAAGCAAATCCAAGTCAGCTTTTGTAATGCAAGTCTACAAGATGTCACCTGATCTCAACATAAGTGCAATTCACCCTCCCCAGAACTGGAAAATAAATGGAACTTACAGTCCTAATTTCATCTGTGGGCCGCCAGTACGAGTATCTCCCAGCCTCTTCCCTAACCCTGCAGGGTTATCTTCAGATACAGCTGCTGTTGCTAGTTGGCAAGTAATCTGCAACATTAGCAGTTCCACCTTAAAGAAGCCACCAAAGTGTTGCGTATCATTCTCTGCATTCTTCAACGATTCAGTCGTTCCTTGTAACACTTGTGCCTGTGGCTGCAATACGCGCCCCAGCAGCCTATGCAGCGCCAGTGAGCCAGCATTGCTTTTACCACCACAGGCTCTTCTTGTGCCCTTTGACAACCGAACTGAAATGGCATCGGAATTTGCTAGGGATAAAAGACGAAACTTACCAAATCCTTTACCTTGTGGAGACAACTGCGGGGTCAGCATTAACTGGCATTTGCTTAGTGATTTCACGGACGGCTGGACTGCAAGAGTAACACTGTTTAATTGGGATGACACCAACATTGTTGACTGGTTTGCTGCTGTACAATTGGATAATGCCATCCAAGGTTTTGAAAAAGCCTACTCTTTCAATGGAACCATCATGCCTGATAATAACAACATAATATTTATACAGGGGTTTTCAGGCTTAAATTACCTTCTTGCGGAAAGAAGAGGAGACAATCCAAGGAAAGATCCTCCAGTTCCTGGTACCGTGCAATCTGTCATATCTTTCACAAAGAAGAGCACACCTGAAATTGATGTAGGCGCTGGTGATGGTTTTCCAAGTAAAGTTTACTTCAATGGAGAGGAGTGTTCCCTTCCGGTAATACTTCCTTCGGGTAGTAATCGCAGGACGCCTCTAGCCAATAGTGCTTTTAGTCTTCTGCTAACCATGCTAGTCCTCATGGTTCTGCAAACATCACTGTGGCTAAACATATAATTTGCATATGATTCAACTCTGAATTTTTGTTTTCAAATGAAGCAAGGTGCCTTTCCTTGTGTTGCCTGTGATAATCACATGATATGTAACTCTCTCACTGCCCTTATCGGAAAAAAAAAATGTACTCTTGTTGCAGAATGCCATGGCAATTTTCATCATTTGTAAAGTTGTAACCAGCATTTTAAACCAGCGCATAAATTCAATTTTAATCAAATATATGTACATCTAACTGCTCCAACATTTCGGTGGTGAGCTAATGGGTCTTCCTCAAGACAACTCCACAATCGGTGTAGCAAACTACAATTTTGGCATCCGAAGAATTACGACCCTAGTTATAACCAAGAAAAGGGGAAAAAAGCGGAAGAGAAGTTTATAAGAGAATCTGCTTGAGGACCAATAGGACAAGCATAACGAGGCACATGATAACAAGAACAGACGCACATTTCACCATTCCCCCATGTTGGGAATAAAACCCTTACAAAAATAATATTTACAGTAATAAAAGCGGAATAATCACGTAGCACCGAGATACGGTAATTAGCAAGAAAAAGAGTGACAACGACACCAAGATTTTTACGTAGAAAACCCTTTGAATAAGGGAAAAAACCACAGCCTCGAGACGAGCAACTGATATCACTATAGCAAGAAATTTTACACTTTGTAGGTCCGAGTAAAATATTCCAAAGACCACTACAACACTCAAAAGAAATAACCCTCTTTTGATATTCTCACCTCACTACAATATCGCTCACTCTCTATTTTTCTCACAGACTATTTTCTTATACCTTGTCTGTGAAACCTCACTCTTTCTTTCTCTCCTTGTTGGTGTGTAGAAATGAGAGTTGAAGCTCTTCTTTTATAGCCGAAGCCTCACTCTCTAAAGCCTACTATATTTGATAATTTACATACACTTTTCCTTCTTTTTCTTCAATGTTGACAATTCAACAAAGTTAGCTACCAACCCAAAGAAATTCAACAAAGTTGGCTACCAAACTAAAGAAATTTTCCTTAGGCACATGCCTATTACTTTGGCTATTGAAATAAATGGAACCCATCAATCTCCCCAGTCTCATTCATCTACAAGAGGTAGCACTGTCTTCTAGTTTGAGTGCATGCCGACAAGTTCTTTGCATAGCTCGAACTTGTCTCTTGGTACCACCTTGGTCAACATATCAACAGGATTTTCACTCGTGTGAATTTTTTTGACCTGTAAAGATTCGTTCTCCAACTGCTCACGAATCCAATGATATTTCACATCTATATGCTTTGTTCTTGCATGGTACATGGAGTTCTTGCTCAAGTCTATTGCACTTTGACTGTCACAATAGACGACATACTCTTTTTGATGCAATTCCAGCTCTTGAAGAAACCGCTTGAGCCATACCATCTCCTTGTCAGCTTCTGTAGCGGCAATGTACTCTGCTTCAGTTGTTGAAAGTGCAACACACTTCTGCAATTTAGACTGCCATGATATAGCTCCCCCTGAAAATGTAAACAAATATCCAGTAATGGATTTTCTATTATCAATGTCACCTGCCATATCAGCATCTGTATAGCCTTTCAAGATTGGATGAGATCCTCCAAAGCACAAACAATCTCCCGTAGTACCTCTCAGGTACCTGAGTATCCAATTGACTGCTTCCTAATGTTTCTTTCCAGGATTTTCAAGGAATCTACTAACAATACCAACTGCATGAGCAATATCAGGTCTGGTGCATACCATTGCATACATCAAGCTTTCGACTGCTGAAGAATAAGGAACTCTAGCCATGTTCCCTTTCTCCTCCACACTTGTAGGACACATCTTCTTGCTCAACTTTAGATGACTAGCAAGGGGTGTTCTGACTGCCTTAACATTCTTCATGTTGAAGCGTTCCAGTACACGTTCAATGTACTTCTCCTGAGATAGCCACAACTTTCTACTTGTTCGCTCTCGAACTATCTTTATACCCTAAATTTGTTGTACTGGGCCCAAGTCCTTCATATCAAAAGACTTGGACAAATCTCCCTTCAACTTTGCGACATCCACATACAACAACAATATAATAAAGTTGTTTTCAGAAAATATTTTGAAGTATACACATGGATCAGAATATGTCTTTGTGTAAGTTTGACTATTCATGAATGAGTCAAACTTCTTGTACTACTGCCTTGGTTCCTGCTTCAACCCGTAAAGACTCTTATTCAGTTTACACACCATGTGTTTCCTTTCAGCTACTTCAAATCCTTCTGGCTGCTCCATATAGATCTCGTTTTCCAAATCTTCGTGAAGAGATGCAGTTTTCACGTCCAACTGCTCCATTTCAAGATCTAGGCTAGCTGCTAAGCTCAAGATTGTTCGAATAGAAGTCATTTTGACAACAGGTGAGAAAATTTCATCAAAATCAATACCTTTCTTCTGCTCGAAGCCTTTTACCACCAATCGAGCTTTGTATCTGACCAACTTGTCATTTCCATATTTCTTGAGTTTAAAGACCCACTTACATTTGAGTGGTCTTTTACTCTTTGGAAGTTCAACCAGCTTGTACGTGCTATTTTTCTGCAAAGATTTCATCTCCTCTTGCATGGCTTTCATCCACTGGTTTTTTTCTGGATGGGACATCACCTCCTTAAGACTTTCTGACTCCCTCTCATCACTGATGAGGACATACTCTGTGGAAGGGTACCTGTATGACTCTACCCTTGGCCTTTCTGATCTTCTCAGAGGTTGAGGTTGTTCTTCTCCCTGAGTGGGGTGATCCACCTGCTCGACATCATCATCAAGTTGCTCCCCCTGCTCAATAACCTCACCAGGTTGCTCCCCCTGCTCGGCAACCTCGTTGGTCGTACTTTCTACGCTTGTGGGATTGTTAGAAGTATAAGGAATAGTAACAAGGTTAGGAATTATACCATTAGCCTTCTCTGGCATATCATCAGCAGTTCCAACTTCACTCTCTCGGAAAACTACATCTCTGCTTCTGATGACCTTCTTCTTTATAGGATCCCATAATCTGTATCCGAATTCTTCATCTCCATATCCGATGAATATGCAAGGAATAGATTTATCATCCAGCTTTGTTCTCTGCTCCTTTGGTACATGTGCAAAAGCTCTGCAACCGAACACCTTCACATGTGAGTAGGACACCTCCTTGTTGGTCCAAACTCTCTCTGGGATGTCAAACGCCAATGGAACTGATGGACTCCTATTGATCAGGTAATAGGTTGTCTGAACTGCTTCACCCCAGAATGACTTAGGCAGTTTAGCCATTCTGAGCATGCTTCTCACCTTCTCCACAATGGTGCGGTTCATCCTCTCGGCTACGCCATTGTGCTGTGGGGTTCCAGGAACTGTCTTTTCATGTCTGATCCCATGACTTGAACAATACTCTTCAAATTCCCTTGAAGTGTACTCACCTCCATTGTCACTTCGGAGACGCTTTAGCTTTCGACCCGTCTCCCTTTCTACTAGAGCATGAAACTTCTGGAAAACTTGAAACACCTGATCTTTGGTTTTCAAAATATAAACCCATAATTTTCGTGAAGCATCATCAATAAAAGTAACAAAATATTTGTTACCGCCCATTGATTCAATTTCCANGGCATAAAATTTCTGGAAAACTTGAAACACCTGATCTTTGGTTTTCAAAATATAAACCCATAATTTTTGTGAAGCATCATCAATAAATGTAACAAAATATTTGTTACCGCCCATCGATTCAATTTCAATTGGACCACAAACATCAGAATATACCAAATCAAGTATATTCAATTTTCTTTCAGACGATGTCTGAAATGAGACTCTATGCTGCTTACCAAATAAACAGTAGTCACAGGGTTTTACTGTTGTACCTTTGGCATAAGAAATGAGTGATATCTTGGCAAGAATCTGCAATCCCTTCTCGCTCATATGACCCATTCTTTTGTGCCACAAATCTGCAGAAATCTCATCTTGTGCCGCATTCAATTCACCTCGGCATATTTCTGCATTTGTTTTGTACAACGTGCCATGAGCAACTCCCTTTGCAATCACCAATGATCCCTTGGTGAGTCTCCAATTTTGATTTGCAAAATAGTTCTCATATCCATCTCAGTCTAAAGTAATTCTCGAGATCAAGTTCATCCACAAATCAGGTACATGTCGCACGTCCTTCAGAACCAATGTGCATCCGACATTTGTCTTGATACAAATGTCACCAATCCCCGCAATCTTTGAGTAACTTGTGTTACCCATTTTCACTGTGCCGAAATCACCTGCTACATATCTGCAAAAAAGATCTCTTACCGGTGTGGCATGGTGAGATGCCGCTGTGTCAACCACCCATTNTTGCTACATATCTGCAAAAACGATCTCTTATCGGTGTGGCATGGTAAGATGCTGTTGTATCAACCACCCATTCCGACTCTGGACCTGATAAGTGCATGCATTC